GGTTTTCAAAGTTAGAATTTTAAGGGCTCATCTTACCAAGGGTATGTCTTGAAAGTTGAAATGCACATGGGATTCGAACCCTTTGCTCCTCAGGGAGAATCTCTGGGTTTTGAGTTCCCTGCTAGTTGTGGGCCACTGCATTGGGGGTGGGGTTTATGGAGAGATTGTGTCTCAGCCTTTCCTACCTACTATGACATTTCCTTCTCATTTGCTTAACATGTAGTTGTTACCCAGCCAGCCTTTAGTTTTGCTTTTGTGTGTGTGTGTGTGTGTGTGTGTGTGTGTGTGTGTTTAAGGGGAAAACGTTGCATATGTAGCTGCAGACTCAGTGTGTCCGAGGTGAGTTTAGAATCTATCTGTGTCACCATCTTGAACCAGAACTGTCCTATATTTTAACTGCACCTTCAAAGCTAGCAATGTTGGATCTCTCTGAACACATCTCCCTCTGATTCTGACCTCTATTTCTTCTTGAGAGAGCTTTGTAGTTGGTGCCTTTCAACAAATATGTCCATTGTGTGTAAGTTGTCAAATTTTTTGGCAGAAAGTTGTTGTAATACTTTTATGTCTGTAGGACTGTGAGTCCTGCAATCTGTCATTGGTCTCATCTTGGTCATTTGTGTCTGTTTTTCACCTGAGCAATGTGATAATAAGTCTATCAATTTTATTTTTATTTTTTTAAAAGATTTTATTTATTCAGAAGAAATGCAGAGAGAGCGAGAGAGGCAGAGGCAGAGGGAAAAGCAGGCTCGCTGCAGAGCAGGGAGCCTGATGTGGGGCTCAGTCCTAGGACCCAGAATCATGACCTAAGCTGCAGGCAGACGCTTAGCTGACTAAGCCACTCAGGCACCCTATTAATTATATTTTTTAAACAAACCCACTTTTAATTAGTTCTACTATGGTAGATCTTTTCTCACCTTTTACTTTTGTTTGCTTATATGAAATGTTTATTTTGTAAATAATATGTGATTGGTTCCTGCTTATTGAAAATCCAAGATGACTTTCTCTGCCTTTTAATTGGTATGTTTACATTATTTACATTTAATATGATTATTCATATGGTTGGATTTAAATCTACTATCATGTTATTTGTTTTCTATTTACCTACTCTTTGTTCCTTTTCCTTTTCCTGCCTTCTTTTGGTTGTTATTTTATGATTACATCATCACTTTTTATGGCTTTGTTGTTACTGATTGCTTTAAGTGAACACTACAGTTTTACCTTAAATAAAATGAATTGCATGGGTTCACTTATACGTTTTGTTGTTGTTTTTTTTTTAATAGTGTAGTACTGTCAATGTATTTTCTCTTCCTTATGACTTCCTGAATAACTTTGTCTTTTCTCTAGCTTACCTTAATGTAAGAATACAGCATAGAATACATACAAATTAACATACAAAATATGTGTTAATTTGCTATTTATGTTATTGGTAAGGCTTCTGGTCCATAGTAGACTATTGGTAATTACATTTTTGCAGAGTCAAAAGTTATATGTGACTTTTCGACTGCACAAAGGGTGAGGACCACTAACCCCTGTGTTGTTTGAAGGTCAACTGTTTACATTTTAATTGTCATCACAATCTGCTTTCAAATGCTTTATATCATCCCCTTTCTGGCCTTTGTTCTATAGTTGTCAGGGGTTCATTCTACATATGTTATAAACTGTCTAATATATTATTATTATTATATTTACTTTAAATAGTGGGGTGCCTACTTCTCCCTCTGCCTCTGTGTTCCCTCTCACTCTCTCTCAAGTAAATAAATGAAATCTTAAAAAAATTATTTATTAGATATAGAAAAAGAAGATTTTTGTATATATTTACATATTTGCCATTTCTAGTGTTCTTTGTTACTTTGTATCGATCTGGATTTACTCTGGTTTCCTTTTTCTTCTGCTGGAAGTACTCCTTTAGCATTCCTTGTACTGCAAGTGTGCTGGTGTGAATTCTTTCAGCCTTTGTATGTCTGAAAAAGTCCTTGTTTTACCCTCATTTTTTGAAAGATTTGCTAACTATGGAAATCTAAATTGACAATCCCCCTAAATCATGTTCCTTATTTTAATGGTATTGTTCCATGCCTTTTATTTTGTGTTGTTTCTGACAAGTCTGCTGTAATCTTATTTTGTTTCTATGTATATAATATGTCTCTTTTCTCTATTTAAAAAATATTTATTTATTTATTTATTTATTTATTTATTTATTTATTTGAGAGAGACAGAGAGAAAGAGAGTGAGCACAAGTGGGGCAGGGGAGGGGCAGAGGGAGAGGGACAAACAGACTCTTCACTGAGCAGGGAGTCCTACATGGGCCTCCATCCCAGGACCCCAGGATTGTGACCTGAGCTGAAGGCAGATGCTTAACTGAGCCACCCAGGCACCCCTCTTTTGTCTTAACTACTTTTAAGATTTTTTCTTTATCACTGGTTAAAGAAATTTTATCATTCTGTGTCTTAGTAGTTTAAGATAGATAGGAAGATTGATGATTGATTGATTTAGAGACTGTGCTCACACAAGTTGTGGGAGGGCAGAGGAAGAGGAAAAACAAAAATCCTCAAGCAGACTCCCCACTGAGAGGGGAGCCCTATTTGGGGCTCCATATGCTGACTCTGAGATTATGACCTGAGTTGAAATCATGCATCTGAGTGCTTAACTGATTTAACCACCCAGGCACTGCTAGTGTGTGTGTGTGTGTGTGTGTGTGTGTGTGTGTGTGTGTGTGTGTGTTTTAATGTCTCTTGTATTTTCACTTTGTTGAGCTTTTGGGATCTGTGGATTTATAGTTCTTATTTGGAAAATTTGCCACCTTAATTTTTTGAAAAAGTTTTTTGTCTTCCCTGTCTTTCTAGGGTCATAATATCCCATACATTAGACCACTTGAGATTATCTTACAGCTGAATGATTGTAACTTTTTGACTCAATCTTTTATTTCCTTTTATGTCTCATTTTCAGTAGTTTCTACTGCTCTGTCTTCAAGTCACTAATCTTACTATCTTAGCTATGCATCATAAACAATTAAATTTTCTTTTCATCTTATAAATAGCATTTAAAGGAAACTTCAAACTGACGAACTTAGTTTTTATAAGAGGATATTAATTTCATACTTACTGTAGTTTTATGTTTTATCTTGATAACTTCAAATACAGTTGCAGTTCTCATTGATTTAATTAGAAGATATTTGTATTTGGCTTCTATCTTCATATTCTCTTTCATTGAGTTTTGTGAGATAGCATTACCTTTGTTACTTTGCCTGATAGACCCTGGTAAACTTAGTGTCCTGTTTTGAATATGATCAAATGACTAAAAACCATGCCTTGCTGATAGACAAGACTCCAAACAGGAGAGAATAGGCACAGTGTCATGTCTCTGTTAAAGAGCCAGAAATTGAGAGAGCCTTGGGTAGGTTGCTGAATGTGTATTTCTCTCTCTCTCTCTCTCTCTCAATTAACAATGTCTTGCAGAATCTCTGGGTATCTCCTACCATGTGGAAACAGGTCAATATTTACTCCAGCTAGGAAGTGTCACACTTTAGACAAAGCTTTGGAGGTAGAGTATATAGATATCTCAGGCTACTTGGCATACTGGGACAAGTCTTACCTATGGGAATAAGGAAAATCTATTAAGGTTGGAGGACTATATACAAGTAAAACTATTTTTAACTTCTCCTATGATAGCTTCTTTCTTTGCTTCTCTGGTAGATAACAGCCTTTAAGATTTTCAGATTTTCTTAGCTGGGCCAACAGCAGTCAGGGGAAATATATATATATATATTTTTTATTTTGGCAGCACCATTGAAAAGAGAGATACCCAAAAGGTAGGTAAACTTCAGAGGGAGAGGAGTTGCTTGATGACCTTCCTAACCTATAAAAATATCTCTTTCAGAGCTAAGCTTTGGAGGGTCTGCATTTTGCTGGATGGAGATGGGGGAGTGATTTCTAACAGGATTTTTCATAGCCCTCTCCCTTCTCCACCCATCCCACCACACATCATCTTCTCCATGCAGAGCCTTTGTCTCAAGTAGTAAGCAACGAATGACTAAGATACTAATTGGAAGAAAATTTAAGGGTTTTTTTTCCACACAAAGGAATATTGCGTTTTATTTTCTTAATTTTTTTCAAATTTTAAAAAGATTTTATTTATTTGAAGAAGAGTGTGTGTGTGTGTGTGTGTATGTGTGTGTGTGTGTGTGAGAGAGAGAGAGAGAGAGAGAGGGAGAGACTGAAAGCACAAGTCGTGGGGGTTGGGGGAGCAGATGGAGAGGGAGAAGCAGACTGTCCGCTGAGCAGGGATCCTGATGTGGGGCTTGATCTAGGATCATGACCTGAGCTGAAAGCAGACAGATACTTAGCCAACTGAGCCATCCAGGGGCCCCAGTACTTGCATTTTAAATTATAATCCTTAAAGTTAGTCTTTTTATGATTAAAGAAATTAATACTTACAAATGGAATTTCAGGTAGAAGGAGATTTACTGGGGACTGGGATTCTGCAAAACCTATAGGTTTTTTATGCCAATATACATCTCTCTTAACTTAATCTGGTTTTTTTAGTGTACTATTCAGAATTAAAATTTAAGATGATTATTTTAGGACATTTTATCCATATATCCCAAGGTAAATCAATCAACTTAGAGTATAAAAAAGTGATAAACTGTATATTTATGGTAAACATCTATAAAATATATTTGTCAGTGAGTTATAATGAAATGAAATGGCTGTAAGATATGAATGCGAATTGGGGTGCTGTCATGGTTTATTTGTAATACCAGACTTGACTTATGGTATGCACAAATTATACATTCCTGAATCAACATAATAATTCTTTCCAAATTTATGGTCCGAGAGGTTTGGAAAAGGGTAGGATATTAACTTGTTTCTACATTACCTTGTTTCATAAAAGATTTAGAGAGCTAAAATGAGCAGATTCTAAAAGTGTCCTTTAGAACACCTATATGTATGTTTAGCAATATGTGAGATCTCTGTTTTCTAATTTTACTGATGTTTGACTTTTAGGTATTTAGAGAGTGACTATCTTCAGGTTATCAGAAATATACAGAACTGTCCATGGAAACGACAAGAAGAAGAATATGAGAATTTTAGGTAAAAAAAATCACTTCATAAATATTACGGGATTTAAATAATGTCTTGTGTATTTGCTTTGTATGGGAAATAACATGTCATGAGAAAGAAGAGTAGAAGGGGCCACCTGACAATCAGATTGATTTACTTCTCAGATCCCCCTCCTGAGACCCAGGGTGTTCTATCCCCATCTCTTATATAGAAATGTAATTCTGCTATTGGAATTCATGACAAAAAAACCTTAAGTTCAAAAAAGAAATTTTTGTTGTACTGTTAATTATATTTTAGAGGACATTGGTGCTTCTTTATACCATTTGTATTTGGTATTTACTTATTTTGTAAATAAAATATGATAGCATTCAGGAGTGCTTGGAAAACATAGAGTGAAAATGTCATCCACGGTCCCGTCACTTCTGGACAAAAACTGTGTTCCTCTCTGTGTTTTTCCTTCCAGTTTTCTTGTTGGCATTTAAACACCCGCATTAAAAAAAATAAAATAAACACCAGCATCATTCAGGACTGTGAGTGGTTACAGCTGATAACCTGGAGAGGAGCCATCAACCAGACAAGGCCAGGTTATCGGTTGATGATTATAGAACTGTTCTGTCCGTGGATAGCTTGGATCCCATCTAGACAGAGGGAAATTGCATCAAAGCACGATGCAGCAAGGGGTGCATAGACATTTACCTGGTACCCCTTACTCCCAGCCCTATGGCACAGCCAGGCCAGTTGTCTCCATGCTTGCCTGGTCTACATGGCTCTGCTTCTCTTTGCCACATTCTCATTCTTTGTTCTGCTTTTAACACAGGTTTTGTCCGGGGCCATGTTATTATGTTACAGTCCAGAAATATGTTTTTATCTTTACTGGTTCATATTTTCAGACTGTAAGCCTTCAGCCTTTTGAAGACCTTCTGAAAGAGCCAGTTTTCCCCTGAGATTCTCTACAGAAGTATCTGCTACTTGTCTTTCTTTACTGTGGGAAGGAAGTGCTTCTTATTTACACAGTGTTGTGGCTTTGCCTGCCCCACTTTCACTTACTTTATGCTCAGGTCATTGGACCAGCTGACTTTTATTCTGCTAGAATGAGAAGGGTTCGGGCCAGCTCCCACTGAGTGAAAGAGGAACTTCCTGACCAGTTTAGAGCTCACAGTGAATATTTTCCCTCCATCAGGTAGACTCATGGGTGTGTCAGCTTCCTGTAGGATGCCATTAAGCATCTTTCCTAACTGATATTCAGGGTGAGGGGCAAGAAAAGGGATTCTTGTGTATTTAATTTCCAGGATATTTCATGCTACATAGTCTGATATAGACTGAATGTATCCCCTCAAAAGTCATAAATTGAAAACCTAGCTCCCAATGTGATGGTATTTGGAGGTGGAGCCTTTGGGAAGTGACTGGGTTATGAGGACTGAGCCCTCATAGGTGGGGCAATGACCTGTACAAGATCCCAGACTGCCCTTATGCCCCTTTCACTATGTGAGGACACAGCAAGAGATGCCATCTAAGTCCCAGAAAGTGGCTTGAACCAGACAGCTAATCTGTTGTCATCTTGATCTTGGACTTCCCAGCCTGCAGAACTGTGAAAATAAATTGATGTTTATAACATGCCCAGTCAATACTGTTCTGTTATAGCAGCTTAAATGGTTTAAGACACAGTCTACTGAAGACTAGACTTGAGAGATCTCTGTGACCAGGAGACTGGATAGAAGTATGCATGTGCAGTTATAACATAAATGATCACAAGGTCAACAAGTGGCCAAGGAGTGTGGTTTAGAGAGACTTTTCTACATGTGCAGAAGAGACAAAAGAAGAAGAGGGAGAAACTGAAGTGCATTGAGCTGTTAAAGATGAGTCCAAGATAATCAGTTAGAAAGACTAGTGAGTAGTGACACAAATCACCAAAGTAGGGGTAAAGGAGATTTTCCAACTGTGAAATTGCCTTAGTTCAGACCTTTTGCAAATAATACAAGGAAAACAAAGTATACTAAATAAGCAAAGTTTACTAAACAAAGTACACTGTTTGAGGGAACTGGCAAGCTACCAAGGCAGGGAGAATTTTTAGGACTAAAATCCAGAAGAAGGAAGCCAAGGGAGGTGAGCCCTGCATTTGAGGCTGATTTTTCTAAAAAAAAAAAAAAAAAAAAAAAAAAAAAAAAAAAAAAAACCTTGCTAAATGCTGACAGGCAGAGAAGCAGAGCAGAGCTTCCAGATATCCATAGAAAAGATCAGTTTTCTAAATGAGTGAAGCCCAGATCTGAATCATTTCCATCCTCAGTTGGATTCAGATCTACCCTAAGCCCAGATGTCTGAGAGAAGCAAAAGCAAATCCTCTCTTGAAGAAGGTAACCTTATTCTCAGTCTGCAGTGATCTCTGCAGATTTTCAGACAATGTCTGGTTCAATTAAAAAATATATGTATTCTCTTTAAAGTTTTTCTTTTTTTTTTCCTTTCTTTTTCTTGTGATAAAAATCAGGAATCTCTTCAAATCCAAAGCTGCTTGAGAGTCACTGCTGCAAATTATGCTGCATAGAAGCCATAGAGATTGATGATATGCAGACAGAATGGCCATTTTCTCCTTAGTACCATCTCAGTATAAAAAGTACATCAGTAACCATGATGATTACCCATGGCCTATCTATCCCTCCAGGGCCAGTTTAAGTAAACATCTGGAACTATAACACTGATTGTTTTTGTCATGGAAGAGAATAGTCATGGTGACATTTATTTATTCACTTGAATATTTATTGTATTGTAATGTTCTTTTTATGGGCATATTTGTAAACTAAATTATGTACACCCTCAACAGAAGTCTGTACAATTAAATCGTAATTAAACTGTCCACTTTCCTAAATTTTTACTAATACAGCTGGCTAAATCTGGGGCTGGCTTATTTATAAAACTGGTAGTATAGGAACATCTCCTTTTATTAAATTGGCAAAGTCTCCATTTTCTTTATGTGAGCATTTTATATTGGAGAAAAGCGAAATGTGACCCTTTAAAAGGTGATAGTATCCTTTTAACAGGAATTACAGAAGGTGCATTAAATTCTGTCAAATATGAGCAAGTGAGTATATTCTAAATCCGCTTCTACCTAGCAGTTGACACCAAGGGGCTATTGGGAAATTATGGGACTTCTTTGGCCACATGATTTAAAAATAGGACAGTTTTTAAGAGTTACTTTTCTGAAATATATATGCCACTTGCTAGCGGGGGGGATGAATTTTGTTTATCAACAAATATCTGTTTAGGGTTTTTACTATGTTAAAGAACAATGGACCCCGTCAGCCTGGTATAGTGCAGGATACAAAGGTAGGACCTGAATAAATATATTTCAAATCAATAAACACCTGAAGGTACACAAGAAAAAACATAAGGTTTTCTTACCAATCTCAAAGAAATTGTAGTCAGTTTGGAAAGACAAAAAAGAAATCTATAAATATATATATGATTTCATGTCAAAATGAGTGATTTATACAAATACCATGGTATATCACTACACAGTCCATGTGGGATATAAAATTTCATTTTATGGAAGGAGATAGATAGGACTTGAACTGTGACTCAGATGATGAGTAGAAAGGGAGAGGTGATGGAGTCAGGAGTAAACATCAGGTACTTTCAGAACCAGCTTCACTGGAGCACGTGCTTGGGATAAAGAGAAGACCTGCAGATAGATAGGGGTGAGCCCAGGACACACAGAGCTCTGATGATTTGAGTAGATCCCACAGATTTCCTGTAGACACTGGAACCCCATGGAGATACCAAGGGTATTACATAATGAATTTATTACTTTAGGGAATGTGTCTGGTTAGAAAAATGCTATGTGAATTGGACTTTTAGGAAGGAGTGAATAGACTGAAGAAGCCAGAGCAGGGGTCGCCTGAGTGGCTCAGTGGATGAACGTCCACTTTGGCTTTGGCTCAGGGCATGATCCTAGGGTCCTGGGATCGAGTCCCACACTGGGCTCCCCATGGGAAGCCTGCTTCTCCCTCTGCCTATGTCCCTGCCTCTCTCTCTCTCTCTCTCTGTCTCTCTCTCTCTCTCTCTCTGTGTCTCTCTCATAAATAGATAAATAAAATATTTTTTAAAAAAAGAAGAAGAAGAAAAAGGAAGAAAGCCAGAGTAGCCAAGGGCTGGCTGTACTAGAACATCTAGAACATCAGTGGTAGCTCTAAAAATATCAAAGAAGGGACACTTGATAGCTCTTTGGCAGCATGATGTCTTCTATTTATCTTTGTATCTTCAGTGCCCATCACCAAGAGGGAGCCCAATAAAGGGGTGCAGTAGACATGACAGAAGAATTGGCAGGACTTGGTTGCTTATTGATTCATAGGTTTCAACTGGAAGAAGATAAAGAGAATTGAGGACAAATGTGAGATTTTTCAGTCGTTTGGTTAGGGATAATAGAGGTGCTAGTGAAAAGCAGACAGACCTCAGAGGGAAGTTGGGCAGGCTGTGTTTGAGAAGACAGATGCAGAAGACGTTTCCTTAATGTAAGTGTTGAGAGATATTGTAGTCCCCTGAAGAGGAAGGGTGATTGTAGCATAAAGCTGGCTTACGATAGAAGTGTGGCCCCATGTGGAAAGGAGTAGCCTGATGTATTCAAAGTGCTGACAGGGAAAAATCTGCAGCCAAGAATATTCTATCCAGCAAAACTATCATTCAGAATAGATGGAGAGATAAGGAGTTTCCCAGACAAACAAAAGTTCAAGGAATTCATGACCACTACAGCAGCCCCACAAGAAATATTAAAGAGGGAACTTTTGGAGTGGAAAGGAAAGACCACAAGCAAGAGTCAGGAAAGTAAGAAGTGTAAAAGCAGTAAAAAGAACTATAGTCATAAAAATCGGTCAAGGGACTCACACAATAAAATAATGTAGAGTATGACACTACATACCTAATAAAGTGTGGGGAGAGAGGAGTAAGGGATGGCTTCAAACATTAAGTGACCATCAACTTCATGCAGACTGCTCTATGCAGAACCTGTTATATGGTAAGCCGAATGGTAACCAGAAATCAAA